TGTCGGAGTATTCATGTGTGACTTTGGGTGCCTCGTTTTGGTTTTTGCGTAAGAAATTGAGGATTTATAATAAATTTATTTACGAACTCCAGTCCGACCAGGTTAAGACCATTTTTCTATAACGGATAGCCTGACTCAATGACAAATTTACTATACACTTCATTAGATTTTATTTTTGTGAAGGCAGCCAATCTTAAAATGGAGCTTTTGTCAAATACACTCCATGCTCAACGATTTTCCGTCACCGAGCGATAACTTCTTCAGCGTAAACCGCCACGAAAATTGAGATATTTTCGAACTGAACCGCCTCTCAAATAATGCGCCAAAACCGCGTCACTGCCAAACTATAATAGATGACCTCACTGATATATATATAGCCGTAATTTTCCATACGTTATCAAAGTTGAGTCTAGTGGACCGATGAATATATTACTCCACTATCAAGACAACGATATGGTGCTGATTATCTTTGTGATTGGCTAATTAATTATTTATGAGTGAAGAAGTAAAAACTGCGACCAAACTAACTTTAACTCTGGGGGTTCATTGGACCCCTGTCACCAATCTCATCTCACATAAATTAAAAAAATGCTAAATGGATATCTATAACAACTTAGGATATTTCATTATATTGCTACGACATAACGACACATCCATGATAATAATCAGAAAATAAGAAAACAAATCATCGAAATAAAAGTAAATATTCCTATAAGTCTGGACTGATAAAAACATAAAATGGATATTATGGATTCACATACAAAAGCGACAGAAATTAATTTGCGTCCACTGAATTGACAAGTGATCACAATTGCTTGACGTATAATTCGTTTGTTCACGTCTGCCCTGTTTCTTAATTGAGTTATCAACATCTGTTCCAGATGGAAAATGGCAACATCTTATGTTTTGTCAGCGATTCATTTTGACAAAGATTAGTAAAAATTATAAACCAATCAGGAAACAGCGTTTTGTTTTAATTTAATTTCAACATACTATATCTGTTGTTGTAATTTTAAATACAATCCTCGTTTCCTCGTCTATTCCGCAGACAAAATAACAAAGACATGCAGCGCGAATGCGCTAGACGCAGGAGCTGTAACCTGTATTTTCTACGGTAAGTAAATGACGTTATTGAGAAAAGCGCGTGGGCTTTACTTTATCAAGTGTAGATAAATGTAGTGAACATCAGTGGGAAGAATAAAAACACGTAGATAATGATTAAATTGGATTTTATTCATTTTCTTCGATATCTGAAGTATACCGAATACAATAGTGATGAAAAGTTAACTGGAAGTTTTGCCATTGGGATATATTAACTTCTGTTTATCTTTCCTTGTGCATGTTTACCGTTCCCAATCGCTATTATCGAGCAACTCAGCTCCAAGCTGGATTATAGCGCTTACCCGCGGGTTAAAATTTAACCTGTTGTTTTTGGTTTGTGTATTTCCGTATTTATTTCAAAACTTCAGAAACTGAGACTTCCGCCATATTTATGGGAAAATATTTCCATGTCCTCTAAAGAAGCTGTTTGGAAGATTGCTTTGAAGATTTTGTTAACCCATAACTAAGCTTACTAACTTTCGAACAACCGACTCTTGGGGAAAAATATTGTAGCCTGTAGCTCTTAACTCTATGCAGTATAACCAATATAAACGGCAGTGGTCAAATGGAGTGGCATATTGTTCATTATTGTTACATCATTTTCATAAGCTTAATCATTCAACAAAGAAAGAAGCTAAGATAGAGTTTATTTAAAAGTAGATACTTTCGGATGTTCTTTTACCGGACAGGCCAAACGAATGCATATCCAGTTGAATGTCGCTCACGATCGTTTAATGTATAACAGAATAATAAATCAACTGTTTCGCGCACAGCTTCCTAGAATGGGTATACATATCAATTTCAGCACTACCCCGTTTTCGACCAGTAAAAAAACAAATCCACAAAAAACTGTGCTAACCAAGAAAAGATGATCAATAAATTTGACTGTCACTGCATGTGGGTGCATTGCCATTGTTTTACTGACATTTTTGAGACAAAATACTCACAGTCTTATGGATTTTAATATAGTCCAGTGAATATGGTTTGGCTTATTGAGGAAGTGTATTCTTACTACTCTATTTCCAAAATCCATTACTATTTATTCAAAGCATTTTCTAGATTTCCCCAGTTGTGGAAAAGTGAGAATTTAATTTAAAATTAACGTTGTAATTATAAACCATTGGCCTCAATGCGTGAACTGTGATTACTCATTTGTTCAACAGTTCCTAAAATCCGAGGAATAGTTGGGAATTGATTGCCCGTTCAAACCAGTCCAAACATCATTGGTCCAGTTGATCCACAATGTTGCACAATGTTAAATGGATGTACACAGTACAACTTAAGTTGTACAAAAGTTGACAAGTTGTATAGTGTATAATAAATCGGCTTTTACACTATCAAAGTTTCTGTCGTGATCACGGTACGAATTTTGCATAGGTTTTACTTAAAATGAAGGATTTGTAATAAATGTTTGAGAAAACTGACTCAGACCCTTACCCCAGTACCGTATCCTAATACCATAAGAGCCCTGTCTAATCCGAAACATATTTTTTGGCTTTATCTGCTTGCATACCATGGCTTGTTTTTATGACGTCATAATGTGATGAGAACAAAAACCTTGGTCCACGAGTCGCCTAGGTCACTGATACCTCTCTTGCTACGTCATGATGTCTCCCATTGGTTCGTGATGTTCTTTAAAGAGCTGCGAGATCTATAACCTGCAGTAGCGTAGCCAGCCGGACGATTTACTCCAACCTCGTTCCCAGGCTCTTTGCTCTTGTGAAGCAGTTGGATTTACTCCAGCTATGCAAATATTTTCGTGTTCATTGACTGTGAAAACAATCAATTTCTAAAGAAATGAATAATGATAATACACTAAATTGTCGGGCTGGCTACGCTACTAGTGATAACTGAGCTATTGATCGTTTGATATTACTTTCCGAATCTATATTGCGCTAATCATCCTGTTAACTATTTCTGTGGAATCAGATTACCTATAAATACCCACGACTTTCGACAGAGCTTGAAATATATCTTCCCACCACTGGCACACCAAGCCCATTCACTCTCCCCAGCAATGGCTTTATGTTAAACTATAACCTACTAACTTCCCGACGAAGGGCCTTTTCAAGTAGTTGTATCCCTACTTTTTTATTTCAACTTTATTGGACATAAAAATTATAGATTACAAGATGAACGTCCAATGGGGTTAGTGCAAACAGGAAAACGAGACCCATGCAAGTGGCGCAACCCCCAAATAAAAGTATGACTAGATAACAAAAAGAAAAGATCTAGCTGATTACAGTAAATATACACATAATGCAGTTTAGGAACGATGGCAGGAGCAATCGCGTGTGAGTGACCAAGTGCATGACATATCCACCGCACTGAAAGTATGCTTGATCAAGTTGGAGTATGTCGTGTGCAGGATGCGTTTAAAAATAACTAGGCTAGCGAAATTTTCTGTGCTCGGTTGATCAATCCGAAGGGCCTTCGTTCAAAACGTCGAAGTTCTCCCTGTATTTTTCAGGCCGGTTCATGCATCCCTGCATGTCACTTCTCGACAGAACATCGCCTACCTATAGTGAAAATAATCAACTACCATTACTATCTGGAAGGCCAGGAAAACTGACCTGTAAATAAGAGAATGAAACTTAGAGCCCACTTGGATGAAAATAAGAGCCCATTTGGCTAAGAGCCCATATGGCTCTATTAAAAGCATTAGTGCTGGGCTCTTATTTTCATTATAAAAATGAGTAGTATATATTATTATATATAAATTGAACTTGGAAAACTTATTATATAAGTGTTCAAAACCGTATCACATGCAGGTCCACAAAACGTCATGTTCACTGCATGCTTTGGTGAGGGGGCAACCGCGATCAACAATGAATTATTGAGACTTTGACACTTCATTGTCGCTATATATATAATAAAACACTTATTTACTGAGCCTGAGACCTTTTTCATTTTTAATATTCAAATATACAGTTGCATGCAGATCTCAATGGGCAACAAGTTGATTTCTCACAATTCTTAGCATGCAAGATTTCTTGTTTTCCACTTCTTTGTTGAAAATGTCAATTAAATAACGACGCACATTCCCATCTTTTCACTGGGTTGCCAAGTAGATCCTCTTGGAGTTATCATTGATTTTGTGTTGTGACAGTTGTGTGATTTTCAGGATTCTGACAATAAGGTTGGGAGGGAAATTGTTTATTCTTTAGTCACACGCCTACCAATTCCCAACCGATGAAATTCCTGACAAATTTGGAAAAGCGCACGTGTCCATTACTCACACCAGCCTAGATAGTGCGCAATCAATTGCTATATGAAGACGTCAGACGTGATCATCAACAATAGAATTTTCAAAGGCGACTATAATCCTAGCTTGAGCATTCTACATTATTTGCATCATTTTCACGGCTCATAACTGCTCGCCAATAATTTAAACGTTGGAAGTCGTTGCGTGTGTTTTATTGCTACTTGCATGAGGGTTGCTTAAAAAAGAAAGATAAATACTTTCATGCAGAGGAAATAAAGTTTAACAATGAACGCTTTGGCTCGAATACAAAAATGTATTAAGTAATTTTGTTTTTTGCCGTTGTTGGTTGCCAAACTTTCTATAATTATTGTTTGCATGGCGGGGGAAGGGGGGGGGAGGGCGAGGAGGAGAATACATAGGCATTCACCTCAGTCTCTCTCTCTCTCTCTTCCTTCCTCTAGTTTCGTTCGGAAATGAAACGGTGCGTTTCCCCAGTACTGTCAATGGTTCCGTCATTGCTACGACTACGATTGCGTGCGGAACTTTTAATTAATTTTAACGCGACACTACAACGTAAGTGAAGGGCTTTTTCGTAAATCATCTTCATTACAGTGTGTAGAAAATAGATTGAAATAATTGAACTTCAAGCATAATTTGAAGTTTTGATGAACAAGGATGTCAATTTGGATGACTTGTTATATAAATAGTGAACTTTTTTATTCTAGTCGTTTAATTTCGCGTCCCTCGCGTTTGCTTTTATTATAATTTTAATCAACTATCTCTACACGCATAAATTACTTTAGAAAGACCATTTTAATATTCATTGCGCTGCGACGTTAGAAAAGTAAACAAAGATTACTTGCGATGAAAAGATGCTCACTAAGTGGTCAGCGTTGATGATTCTATCGTCGTATTAAGTATTATCGCTGATAATCCACAAAACATTTGAGCTGCCGAACCTGATGTCAGATGGAGAATCACAAATATGCTGAAAACGCTTCGACTTCGTTTTACTTGACAGATCAAATGTGTAAAGCTTCAGATAAGGTATGCGATATCATATAAAATCTATACTTATTATTTATAGTCTGTTGTTTTGAATGCGATTTATAGAGCTTTTAGGTCTCATAGTTTTATCTGATAGAACATTAGAATCGACCTAAAGTTTAACTAAACTATAAACTGCTAAGGACTAGAAAGATTTATACTATGCCATTGGCATTGCTAGCCATTCAGCACCTCGTTCATCAAGTCTGCAATGACTAATGACAGTCTGTGTTCAATGCAACTGTATAGTTTGTATATGTTTGTGACATGTTTTCAAACAATTACCCCAGCTGACTAATATTTGTAATAATTGAAAAATTAGGAAAGATGTATGATTTTGACCTTATTCATGGCGGAGTTTATAGGTTTTTAATGCTTTCTCCACCTCAACTCTTCAAACGCCAATTAATTCATAAACCGCGGCGTGTATGCGGGGGACAGTGCAACCTAAACAAAATGTTTTGAAAAGCATAACTAGCGGCTTTCCTTTGTCTTGTGGATGATTCGTAATAAATCAGAACAAAATTCGGGAACTCAATATTCTGACATTCTGTCTAGAAAAACAATTCAGCGCGGGTCTATGACCATTACAATTTGTAGTTTTTCCCTGGCATAAGGAAACGTTGTATTTGTCTAACTGTAATTTGGACCGCTATATTTTCAATTATTTCCTAGTTCTCATTCAGCATTTCAGGCTATCTATCAATCGGGATTAGTAGTTAGAACTGAGAAAATCCTATTGTCTTTCCGCCAATAATATTAGACTGGTCAAGTGAAAATTTACAGGATCTATATTATCTGCAAGAAAAATTTGCATAGACCAATTTAGCGGAATCATATTCATTTTAACCTTTCAAGCACTTTGTTGAATCTTTTACCTTAATTGAGACATTTCCACGTAGATATGATATATTAAAAAATACCGAGAATTTGCTTTGTATTTGTAGAAAACGTACGTTAAATTAGCAAGCAAAATGAAAGAATATTGAATACTATAAATATATATTGCGGGGCTGTCGCTTTCTCTTATCGCCGATTAAGAGAAACACATATTATTATTGCATGCAGGTGGCATCGATATTGTTTGTGACGCGAGATTATTAAGTTATAATATCAGATTAAAACTATACGCTGCGTGCATGCATGGAAAGTGCGACGAAACATGAGTGTGAATGTGAATAACAACCATAGCAACGTGACACATTTTTAGCACAGGCATATATAGCTCCTTTGAAGTTTGAACGTGATTGGTTCTATACAGTTGTACACAAAGATGATAAATAGTACTAAATTTAACATCGAACGGCAATTAAGGACAAGTTACAAACTATACAGAATAAAACCTTTAAAAATATGTTGCAATGCGCTGAGAAGAAAGACTTTCCCACTCCTCCCTCATTGCGATCAACTATCTCGACTATCATCCAAAAACACCTGCTTGATCAGACAAGAAAAGTCATACATGTATGCATATTTGTTTATATTGAAGAAAACAAAATGCAGTGTATTTGAAGAAAACAAAATTCTGAAAGTCATTCTTTGAAAAAGGCATTTTGGACAGTTTTACACAAGTGTCCAATTGGTCGAATCAGCCAACATGATCCAGTTTCCTTAGATTTAATGTGGTCATAAATTATGTATGTGAGATCATTGAGTAGATGCTATTGGCCAGGCATAAACCAATTTCGTGCTTTCACTTGACGTAGTTGCAACCTTTTCCTTGCTTTCACTTGACGTAGTTGCAACCCAACCCAATCAGAAAAGATCAATTAATGCTATTTAATTTCGTCTGATCATTCATGGCTTTGTTCCTACGGTACTGAAATATTTCCCAGTACTTCAGTTGTCAGACCTCATGACTTCAACTTACGACTGAATTCTGACATGAAACTAAATTTTCCTCTTCCTAAAACGGAATATTTAAAAAAGAGTAGAGGTTACAGAGGTGTCAAATTATGGAACAATCAGGGCCCGGGGGGCAATGGGGGGATGTGCCCCTCACTTTTTTAAAAGTGAAAAAAGTGCCCTTTTTCTGGGCAAAGTGCCCCATTTAAAGAACGATAAAAATAGTTCTTGAATGAACACCTTCTTTTGCTGGAAAGAAGTGCCCTTTTGCGGTAATAAAGACTTTGTAAAGGCCATTTCCGACGTATAGAGACTCCATATTTTCAAAAAATTTCGTTTAGCTCGTGAACGACATAAAATCGTTTGATTTTGGAAATGCTTCCGCGGCCTCTGGGAACAATCAATTTACTAGTTGAAATTAGAAACGTTACATGAGAGCTTAGCTAGTTTCAATTCGCTTCTACGTGCAACGTACTAGCCTGATACGATTTCATTTGTAAAATAAATATATTTTGTAAAGTAAATTTTACACGCCTTCCTTGGAAATCAATTTACTTTGAAGGACTTAGCGTGTTTAAATAAAGTTTACCTTATTACCTATTATACTTTACGGCTTATCTTACGACGTGTATGCATGTTTAAAGTGCTTACATATGAAACGAAATTTTTGCCTCATTTTTTATTGTTTTATTAAAAGGTACTGCTCAAATGATGAAGAATGACGTTTACCGTTTATTCTTATCTCATCTCATTCCCAAGTTATTGCACTTTGTATATTTTGAGTTGGGACGTCACAAGAAGGACTTGAGATAATGGCAATAACAAGAAAGTCTGATATCTTGGTGAGTATTTGATAAAATTCAATGAAACTTGGCACACTTAGTGGGTGCACCCATATGAATATTTGTGGATGGTCATGTGGTTGCCATGGCAACAGACTAGTCCCCAGTCTCTTCTCTTCCTTTTTACAAATGTCCTCCTGTAGACCTCTGGCAGAGGATGTTTGCATATTATAACTGTTTAAACTGATCACAATACCTACACGTGTTATACTAATGAGCGAAAATTGCAGGAATTGCTATTTATTTCGTTGGAAATGGATCACATAAAAATTGGAAGAGAAGGGACTGGGGACGAGTGTGTTGCCATGACAACCATATAAGCCAAATTGTTGACTTTGTTACACCCACTAAGTGTGCCAAGTTTCATTGAATTTTATTAAATACTTACCAAGATATCAGACTTTCTTGTTATTGCCATTATTTCAAGTCCTTCTTGTGACGTCACAACTCAAAATATACAAAGTGCGATAACTTGGGAATCAGATGAGATACGAATAAACTGTAAACGTAATGCTTCATCATTTGAGCAGTACCTTTTAATAAAACAATAAAAAATTAAGCAAAAATTTCGTTTCATAAGCACTTTAATTAATTAAGAAAGCTAACAAATCTATAGATTCAAAAATGTATTCAATTTTTAATGGAATGATGTGTAAATCGTGTATTCGATTTTCTGTGGTATTCAAAAAGTTGACGACATCAACCTTGTACCCAGGGCTTTTGCGCTTGTGATGATCGATAATTTTAAACTTCGGAGACTCTTTCCTAGAAAATGTGGTCCGGGACTGGGCTGGTTTTTCAGTCACTAAAAATATCCCTTGACCTTGCTTGCCTAAGAAGATAATCATCTTACAATCTTCGAAATCTTCCCATAGAATATATTATTTATAATTTTATATTTAACAATTATAACATGAGCTTGAGTCGTGTATATGAACTGATAGGACGATATCGCCTTATATATGCCATTGACCAATCACGAATCTTCAATAGGGCGACGTGCATGCTGTTGCATATCGTGGCTTTTTCCCCATATCTTTTCAGGTGTTTTAGTTTCAAACAAACACACAACAAACTATATGACAAAGTAATGAAAGGGATTTGGAACATTATAAAGACCGTTTTTTCTGCCAGTTTTATTTAAAATTATAAAAGCGCGGGAAAACTTGTCATCGCGAAATTCATTTGTTATACAGTCGTGAGGTTAGTAATATTTCATTTTCGTTCATTAGGGCAAATCACAATTAATGCACGGAATTGAGTTTTTTTGTGCAAACTTGTCTTTGAATGCTAATTAAAGTTATTTCTATATTAGAAAGCGGGAAACGAGTTCACATGTTGTCGCTGTTTGTTCCCGCTGTATTATTATCGCTTACAAAGACAATTTTTTGTTATAAAGTTCTTACGATATGATAAAACACCTGTTGGATTCGTCATATTAAGTCTCGACTTCAATATTGAGCTCGACCCTCGGTCTAGGGACACGCACAGTATGCCGGAATTTCTTTTAGAATATAGGGGATTTTTTTGAAACCGGGAATAATAGGCAAAAGAGGGAAAAAAAGAGAAACGTGTCGGTATGACGTCATCGTGCCAACGTAAATTCTGTAATTAGCATATGTGCCATCCGCCCATTGACGCGGTGTGCACCGTCTTTGAATGCGTCGTGTGCGTACAGCATTTGGACCAATAACGTTATCCATTATTTGTTTCTTTAATCCATAATGCAAATTTCAAATAAAATTGAAAATGTTGACGAAATTTCCAGCTCCACATCCATTATATAAATAAAGTTCTTATTCTCTCCTGGGGCCGGTTGTATAAAAACGTAGTTAGCGCTAACTGTAGTTAGCGTTAATCACTGTAGTTAAATCCTTAACTGTAATTAGTTAACTACATGACTTAACTGCGTTGCACAAAACGTAGTTAGTCGGATAGTTAACTAATCACGTAGTTAACTGTGCGTGGGGCTTGCGTGGGGCGTTTAAACACAAAATTACATAAAGTAAGCAGCGAGTAACGACCGCTGACACACATTTTCAACATGATTGTGGACTCGTATTTTGCAAATAGGCGGTGTCACAGTGATACGAGTATCCCCGTGTTTTGTGTATCCCCACACTAATATCCCTAGGGATAAAAGTACCCCCGGTGGGGATACCAACAACACTAGAAGCGAAAGGATGCAATATTCAAAATATGAGCAGGAGGAAAGTCATTTACGTTTTTACAGTTATTAAATGCTGCAGTAAATGTGTATAATGTGATTGTGCTTATGTTGTAAGCAGGGCACTATATAAGCGCCCTGGTTGTAAGATAGCATATTCGCGTCGCATAAATTGGTGTAGAACATAGTGTAGAATTACTCTTAACATTAACTCATATGGCTCCGTATTACTTGATTTCCGACGTATATGACAGGAAGTTTAAATACTATCCGCGAGTATTTGCAGTAGAAATACGAAAGTACCACCAAAAAAATCCGCTTGAAAAGTTCTATGAAATCGAACAATATAAAATAGCCATAAATTATAAACTATGCATACTTGAAGTCTTGAACAATGTAAACTAACCATACCATACTATAATCTATATACAATAAACTCGAAGAATGTAAACAATGCATCACTAAGCCATACCTTTCGCCGAATATAACTTCGACCCCTTTCAACATATCTTTTTGGTATTAGTCTTGTTAGAAACACAATCCAACACACTATTTAGAGTGTTATTTTCAAGCTTGTATGTACAGTTCTGCATGTTTTATTTCCCGCGAAATGTTAGGGATACTTGTATCCCTAGTGATGTGGGAATGTAGGGTGGTTCTTTAGGGATACGCAGAACACGACCGCCATATTGCCGGGGATACACATATCCCTATAGTGAGGTGAGCATGGGGATACACATATCCCTAGTGATATTAGTAGGGGATACACAAAACACGGGGATACTCATATCACTGTGACAGCGGGAATTTTATTCAAAACACTAGAAAACAGTGAAAAATAAACAAAAAACAAGGATCCGACCGCCACAAAAATCATAAAAGAATGCAGTTTTCCTTGAGATGTCTACGTTAAACTAAAGTATAGCTGTTTGGCAATTATATATCAGTGTTTCTTGGTGTAATGGACCATACTTCGTCTTCGAGAAATCGTCCTGTGCAAAAATATGTTCTGTTTTCGTAAAAACACCAAAGCGATAGCGTTTGAAGAGTTTATATTGTCAGGAAACATTCACAGGGAAGATAGCGATTGAAAATCTCAGGTAAACGTTGCTTTTCATTATTGTTTAACTGAAAAATGTTATTCACTCCTATACAAACGCCAGTTTTAACTACATTTTGGACAGTTAACTATACCCTAAAGTATAGTTAACTTTAACTACTTTTTAACTGCAGTTAAGGTGGCTCGCTACAGTTTATAGAAATGTTGAAAATGCGTAAACTAGATCACCTTTTTGAAGAGATGATGTTTTTTACAAATCGAAATTTGTATATTATATATTTATTTATAATATAGCATTTGTAAATTCTGAACGCTGATTGGCTAAGAGCCGTGTTGATATAACTCCATGTCAACACGGGAAATTTTCCGCCGCTTGTAACACGGAAATTGTTCTTATTCTTCGGGCTTTTGACATTGCTATATTATAAAACAAATATAAAACATTTTTTTCCGTATTGATATATAGTTATATCAACACTCGTGGAAGTTGGGAAAACTCGAAATTGTGTGAAAACACTCCGCCCTTCGGGCGTCGTGTTTCCACACAATTTCTCGTTTTCCCAATTTCCACTCGTGTTGATATAACTGTATATCAACACGGAAAATGTTTTATATTTGTTAAATATACAGCGACAATCAATCAGTCGAAAATTGGTCAGAAAAGTGACGTCACCACTGTTGCTATGGCAACAATAACGATTCAAAATGGCCGATATTTTGACTTTGAACGCATTTTACTTTAAAAAAAGGTCGGTTACCCCCATTTTTTATTTCAGAAAACATTTTCTTATAGTACAATACACTATCTGACCAATTTTAAAAAAATTCTGTAATGCCAAATTTTGGAAAAATTTATAAACATGGTTTTTCGAAATAATTTTTTTTTTGCATTACAGAATTTTTTTAAAATTGGTCAGATAGTGTATTGTACTATAAGGAAATGTTTTCTGAAATAAAAAATGGGGGTAACCGACCTTTTTTTAAAGTAAAATGCGTTCAAAGCCAAAATATCGGCCATCTTGAATCGTCATTGTTGCCATAGCAACAGTGGTGACGTCACTTTTCTGACCAATTTTCGACTGTTTACGCATTTTCAACATTTCTATAAACTGTAGCGAGCCACCTTAAGGCTAACTACACTTTTATACAACCGGCTTAACCACGTGATTAAAGTTAACTACTTTTTAACTACTTTTTAACTGCAGTTAGCGCTAACTACGTTTTTATACAACCGCGGCCCCAGGTCTTGGTTGGACTTGATTTAGAATGGTTTGGGAATAATAAGGGAAAATTCTAAGAATAATAGAATAAAGCCAAGGGAATTAAGGAATAGAATAATGGGCAAATTTTCGAGCATAATTCGCGTGTCCCTACCTTCGGGAAAACAAAACTATTTCCCTCGGAAACAGCATATTAAGTGTGTAATATACGACGAGTAGCTCAACCAATCAGATTGCAGAATAGCTCATATACGGTGATCGATTATATTATAATTATTGATATATTCCCAATAAAATTGTAGAACATTCAGAATTGAAATTCATGATAGCAATACCGTTATATATGTTCATATACATATTACTGTAGCGATTTTACATGCAATTAAGCTATTGATGTTCCACAATGGTTAATAATAAAAATAAAAAATAATATATCACAGTAGATTTATATATTATTAAAAAACTCATTAATAATTCACGAGGAAAATACAAAAGAAATGAATGTTTAATCCAGGGATGCCGGAAGTTGCTGAGGGCAAGGGGTGCAATGGTACCAATGAAAATGAAAGGGCGTCATGATCCTACATTCGTGTCAACCTCCCTCCTCGTCATCAAATGTTTTCGGACCGAATACAATTATTTAGGCACAATTCCTCCGTAATTTCTCGCCAAAAATTCCATAAGTAATGCTTTCCGTTTCACCTTTCGCCAAATGGATAACAATTTTGCCGAATCCCTGACGACTGGGAGGTGGAACACCCCCACACACATCCTCGAACGACGTTTAATTCTGTCTGTTGTAAAAGTTTTGTGCACCCATTACACCCTTAGTCTGCACCCGCACTGCACCCACAAAGTTGAAAATGCAAAAGGCAAGGGGTGCACTTGCACCCGCTGCACCCGGGGTTCCGGCATCCCTGGTTTAATCAATGTTTGTAAATCGGATAAAGATTTGCTCTGATTTACATAAACTTTAACTTTGATTTTCTCGGCTTAGACTATGTTTATTTTTAAAATTACTTCGCCAATGAACTCATTATTTTTAAGCTTTTCGGCTCGAGTTTGTATATCAGATAAAGATCGGCTGCTCATGTTTTATCTAGTACTTATCATGACATTATAAATTAATAACATTCTTATCATGATATTGCGGAACATTGCATGCGTTTGCACAATTAATTTGCCTGCTTGGTTCGTCATACGTTAATGCGGCTTTCACGAGAGTAGCACTCAAAACAGAAATATTAAGCTTGACCAACAAGTTAATTGATCGTAGCGTCGCGAAATTTGTCAGTGGAGATCTTGCCGGTGGGGTTTTTATCATGTTCACAGGTTATCATAATGATATGCCTTTTGGGCATATCAGTCTTGCATGTTTGCGTGACATTAGGTCACACTTCTTTAGTATATATTGAATTGACTGTGGTAAAGACTTAATTGCGAACGCAACCTTTTCAAATATAGTGGATTTCTACTTTAATTACATATATATACAGCATGCAGCGGATTGCAGCCAGCTATTGGAATACCAGTGTAAGCCAAAGTACTGTACGTAAGTTTGACATGCAGCAGTATTGTCAGTATTGATTATATTATATTTGTTACTGTTTAGTTAGTTTTGTTATTCGTTAGTTTCTATTCAAGTATAGTTCTATTTCACTGTCGTGTTTCAGTTCGAATCTACACTTCATGGAACACCGCGGAAAAACGTCTGCGCATGTGTGGGGCACAAAAAAGATCGCGAGTAATTTAAATGCCAAATTGTAAACAAAAACATGGCTATTTAAATATTTAATGATTCAAGGTAATTGAAACAAACAAAAAAATACACTAGACGGGTAGTTTAGACATGAATAAAAAGATTTTAATATTTAAAATCTAAAAAGAAACAGAATTTAAATTAAAAATTACCGTTTTGCAAAAAAAGTTATTGACAAAAATGTGGATCATATGAACCTACGAAAAATATCTTTGTTTGGTTCAGTTAAAGAACGTTTTATACAATAAATTTATCGACAGTCACCTTTGGTTTATTTTCTTGCATAAATGCATAATACTACTTCTTACTGATGTAGACTATAAGGAGGAAGAAAAAGGAGGACTTTGCGCATCTTTATGATGATCTGTTTACATAATGAAGCGCATTGCTATTGCATTATTCATTAAAACAATATCATTTGTGACATTTTCTTGCTCATACTTGGTAATGCTTTCTATATAATTCAAGTACAAGCTTAATTATGTCTTCTGGCGTCATACTGCGATGATCCATTACGGTAAAATTCATTAATAGTGTTTATGGCGTACTATCATCTTTCATGTAATTAGTAACGAAGAACTAGGCATACATTTTACTTGTCCTAATCCACCTGTCAGTGAATATAGATCATGGACGCGATGTTTCAGGAGATAGAAAACTCGATGTATCATAAAAGTGGCAGTAGCTTCTTCAAGGTAAATGCAATAAACAAAAGCAATCAGCGAACTTAAACTATACATTTCAGTCATTTGTATTCGCTTTTACGCTGTGCTGACGGAATCTAATTAGTATCGAATTGGTTTCGCATTTACTAAATGAAGTCGAAGAAGGTTTGTCGTTTGAAAGCAACATAATAGCTATAGGGGAGTCGTCAAGATATAAAGTACTTTTTACAGAATGTACCGAGTAAATCTAGGGCCTAGGCGAATCCAAAGTTAACTAAGTTACGAATGACGGTACTGGGCCGTAGCGGTTTTTAAACCGCTTAAAAGCTCGGGTTTTAGCCCATTTTCCAACAGGCGAATTGTTCCCGGCGTACAGTACTGAAGTATAGAACTATATAATCGCGGCGAATTGTTTCGCTGACCAATCACATTGCCAAAATGTGTTTTTCACTTCGCGCGAACAAATTCGCCCTAGTGGAAAATGGGCTTTAGTTAGTTTCATGTTCATGCAAGTGAGCAGGTGCTTGCTCACTGATTAGCAAGTGCCCCTTTCATGTGGCACTTCTACTACTACTATATATATCTAAAGGTTTATAGTCTTTAGAAGGCCATTTTCTGCCTCTGTACTAATATAGTTGTACATCAAATTAAAATGAAATGCATAGGAAAAACAAAATATGAGCCGGAGTGTGCTAAACACTCAGAGCATAATCAGCATAAAAACAACTGCGCCCTTTGTTACCTGCAGTTCACTTGTCAGTGGCCAATTAGAATTAGTCATTGTACTACGAACTATGCGCGACAAAAAATTGCCGTTATATTATTAATGTGCCACCTAAACTGCTCTATGGCTTGGGAAAACTGAAATGTGAATGAAAAACTTCACAACAAGTAGCATGCGGGTGTGTTCAAGCACTTACATTTCGCGGTATTAATTACAAGAAGATCGTACGTTTTTTACAACAAAAGGTAACATATCGTCATGAGCTTAGGCTGCTGGCTGCTAATCCGTATACTGCATGCACGTGTATTAATGTGTATTATCAATGACTTGATAGACTACAGAGTACAGACTATATAAAGTTTGATAGACTATATTCAATGCATGAGTTCTGGATTAAGGTAAATTAAAACTTTGTTATCGAGAAAGTGCGTAATTAACTTGAATTCTAGTTTAGGTTATTAATGAGATCAAATCGCTTCAACTGACTTATCCCGTTTGGTCCTTGAACCTTGATATTAGAGCACAATGCCAATGGCTTACAGTGCGCCATGTAAACAACGCTTTACTTTCCAAGTGGAAGCAACATTGTAACAATAAATGAGAATGAAAATTTTTTTTAATACTTCACAATTAACATATGGATCATGTTACTACTTGTGTTCGGACGATGCATGGTTTTACTGAGTAAATTAATTTAGGCATTTTATATTCAGCTTTTTATTGCTCCAAAGAGTAATTTCTCGTTTTTCAAAGAAAGCCGTTTACGGAAAACAGGCAAAGCTTTCCTGCTCTTGGTAAGAATTTTATATAAAATAACTTACTATTTGACAATTAGATTACAAGCTCGAGATTTCTATGAGCCGGATACGCACGGATATAGTGATGAGGGCAAAGCCCGAATCAACCATCACCTCATAGAAATCGAGAGCGAATAATCTAATTGTTTTAATAGAATCAGAGATCAAACATAAAATATTGTACAAAATAATTCAATAAAAATAAAATGCGCCAGGAAAATATTTTTGCTAAGTCGCGCTATCTATTGATTCGAGGAATAGATATAATGAGTAGAGTAGCCAATCAAATTACAGCATTCGCAACAGTATTTTCTACTGGTGTGATTCTACTAATCTACTTTAGTCCTTACCATCCAACCAACAGATTTTGTCAGTCCCCCTAATTTTTTCATCAGCTCTCCCGTACGCCTATATGTGACCTATGTGATTTGAAATTTCCTTTATGCCATTCATGCATGCGCAGGGTGCGTCGCTCTTTGTTGCCTATGTCGCTATGACGTGAAATTTCCTCAGGCTATCACGTAATGGTGATGTATTAAACCACACGGAAAGAACATGCCGTATATATGTTTATGTTGAATGAACAATGACGCCCATAGGGGCGCAAAACACTTTTCAGGGGCACATCAAGTCACAGTCATGTTACAAATAATAGAAATGAGAGATTTAAAGGACAAGCTGTGAATTTTTTTTATCTGAAACACCTCCCAGACTCAGAGACACTAAAACGTGGGTCGGGCATCAAGGAAATCTCCTATTGCCCTTCAATTCTTCAATTCTGCAATGAAGTTCATAATCACATAACCATAACCTATATTAGCATTTATCTTCGAAAACCACAAATATTTTATAACCATATAAAATTCTAATGAATTCTGTATCCTAATAAATTGCTTCCATGAAAACGGTCGTGGTCACTTATTTCAATATCTGCATTTGGAATATTAGGAGCTAGATTTCATTCGCATCAAGTTCTTAACATCAGTGAAACATGAACATACAGTTCTTACCAGCAGCCGCAAAAACTCTAATATCGATCGATAGGCTATACATACTTTGCTGTGAGGCATTTATGAGATGGTTAAAAGCTATGCTACGGAAATAGAACGCAATGGAAACTAGATTAATTATAAACCATCAAGAACAAATGACACTATTCATGCATGCATGCATGCATGTAACGCCCTGGGGAATGAACATAACGACCAGACTCTTGTTCCTCGAACTACCCAAGAGTACGAGGGGTAGGAGTTCACTCCAGCGTGAGGGATCATTCATGGCTTTCAGAGATGTTTTCAGTTGGTGATGAAAACATTCTGCGAGCTAGACTATTAACAATGAGGTGGTATGGGCGGTAGTTCAGATACAGGTTGTAGCAAGAAAGTGGGTGAGGGATGCAAAGAGGTTGCTTTCGAATTGTTTGCCACAATTAGTGTAATCACGTGTGGAACACCAAATCGAGAGATCCAGTGGGTGATAAAGACTTGAGCAACCGATTCTAGTGCTGTGATAGTTGTGATAGGGATTGCCTTAGGTCATCGAGTGCATCGATCGATCAGGTCAAGATGTAAGACTAGCAGGAGTGACCATTGGCCAGTGAGGTTGATGTGAACATGGGAAAATCGAGCGGTGGGAATCTCAGTTGGAAAAGGGTGCACAGATGTGACGTTGTACTTTGCAGCGTTGACATTGTGGACATGTTTTGGTCCATTGTCCGGCGTACATGGAGAAAATTTGACAACACAGAACAGTGCGCTTATTAATATGGTCTTTATACCGGACTGACAGATCATTATACAGAATATGCTGTAAATGATATATTTAATAAACAACAAAATACCAGTTTTGGTATATTAAGATACATACATAAAAAAATCTACCACTACATTAGCCTAGTTCCTCGGCCTTTTCGCTTGCGCCTGATTATTAAGGGTGATTTTTTAAAGGCATGCGGGTTGACCAGGATTTTTTTGGAGACTGGGGAGTCAGTTCGGATTTGTTCGGAAACGCGCAGCCTGCAAATTCCGTGAAGCCTGTAACTCGCCAGCGGGTGGAAGGTCGAGGAAGTGGAGGAACTAGGCTACCACTACATTACATACAAAAATATAACAATTTTACTAATAGCCCAATTTAAACTTTCAAAAACTGCTAAAATGTCGTAACAGTATTTGGCAACCAAGTTCATAATTGTCTTGTCTTGCCAAATATCTTGTTGAGTGAACAAACAGAAAGAACGATTTATGTTACACAAATTATTTATAAAAATATTAGACTAATACTATTTAGAATTTCTGCATGACATTAGGTGGTATTCATTTCCAATCTCATTTATGTCACAATGTTTACATAGCCTATCATATTGTATGGAACATTGTTATATCGACCAGTTTCAACAGGTAATCTATGTGCTGAGATCCTTACTACTTAGTTTTGTAACAGTTTGACGATATTTGAAATTCTGGACTAAGTAAAAGATACCTTTCCGAACCGAAGTTTATTTTCAAGTTTTTATAAACTCTTAGTTTATATTACCATTATTTCCACCTTGTTGAATCTGCTCTTTCCAGTATTTAATAAAATATTCATGTAGTAAATTTTTTAAAGAATGGAAAAAATTTTCTTGTTGGTCTGATGGTATTGTAAAGTCGTTAAAATTATCAACCTGAACATATTACATAGCTGCAGTAAATATTTTGTGAATAAAACTGAATGGTTGTAAATAGTTGGATTGCATGCATACTCTTGCCGCATCACTAGCAAGGTTATTTGTAAGAGTTGGAGATTTTATGCGACACCAAAATTTTGCTATAAATGTAGCTATTTGGCCAATCCGTCCGTCCTATCTCACCATATACAGCTAGATTTGTTGATTTTGAATGAACGCCTAGAATTCTTTTACAGAATTTCAAATGGAGCTTTTCTATCTGATTAGTTATTTTAAAAATTTTGGTTTTAAAAGTTTCAGAAGAAGTTATTCTGTCTAGCAAAAATGGACCCCAAATCTCACAGCCATACAGCAAAACTGGAATAACCACTGAAAAGAACAGTTTTACAAATACTTTAATTAGTACATTTTCCACTTTCGAAAATCTTTTAAACAAACAATGGTAGACGTAGACACATAATGCTTTATTATATAGGACTTCAATTATTTGGACCCAAATAATTGAAGTCAATTGAAGTCAATTTTCACTTCAATGTTTTTCCAAGTTTTACTGGATCACAAGAGCTATTAAATAAATCTGGTTGATTCAATTGATTCAAACGTGTATTCATAATTAAAGTAAAGAATTTTCCCAAACAGCTACCTACAGGTATACTGTTATTCCTCTGTAGTTACTGGGATCTATTGTACTTCCTGATTTATGTATTGGAACAATAAAACCGTTCGACCATTGTGATGGAAAAACACCGTTGGACAAAACAGTATTAAACAATTTTACGAAATAAGATGGCAGAACTTCAACCGCTACCTTAATGATCTCATTGGACAGTGAATCACCTGCACTCGCTTTTTTGTTTTCTAATTTCTTTGATAATTTATGTAATTCCTCAGTTGTGATTGGATTATCAAGGGTGTCGTCTTTGCAGGTTGCTCAAGTGTCGAAGTCCTTCACTATCTGAGCTTCAGTGCTCAACTTTTCGGTATTAAAATTTATTTTGTTCAAGTTTTTAAAATAATCAAACCATTCTGATGATGATATTTCGTTTGACGTACATGATTTACGTGTTTTTATATCATTAACTAATTTCCAGAATTCTTTGGGGTTGTTATCAGATAACATTTCAATTTTATTCAATAAGGAATTATAAAATTGTCTTTTTTGTTTTATTAATTTAACCAAACGTTTATATTCCTTTCTTTTTGCAAAGAATAATGACGTATAAAAATATTATTAGGATCTTTTGAGAGTAGTTTACCTATATTACTCAAATTCCTTTTTAGATTATGGCAATTTGCGTCATATCATTTTTGCTTTACTTTTGTTTTGTTTTTAATGTTTTTATTGATCGTGTTCTTTTGTTTCTTTATATTTAATACGATGTAGTGCGCAATATTTCTGAGAAATTATTTACCGCAGTGCATCAACATCAGCTGATCTTTCACATGTGGTAGTCTGAGAAAACAAAGAATCTAATCTATTTTGAACATCCTGCGAGTTTATACACTCTCTTAAATAATTTTTCTGATTCTCGTCCCACAAAAAAGACGTAGGATGAGATGTCAATTTTAAATCATTTTGAGATACGTTGGGAGTTTCAATCCTTATTACAAAAGATAAATAAGAATGATGGGAAAATTCAGTAATATCCGCAACTGAAAAACTAACTATTGATGAAAGCAGGTCTTGCGAAACAATGACATAATCAACAACACTTGCTCCATTATTCGTTTGGCAAGTGAACTGGCCAATGAGATCACCTTTAGTTCTACCGTTTAGTGTAACCATATACTATTTCCAATACATAAATCAATTAAGGACCGCCCATATATTCACATGCAAGTCTCTAGAGGATCGTTTATCCGTTGTGAATGAGGCATAAATTTCATCCCTAAAAAAGGGATCGTCAATAAAATCATCTAGGACACCTGTTCGAGCGTTAAAGTCGCCAGATAAAACTACCTTATCTAAATTGTGAATTTATAAATGCTATTTTGGAGACTTTCAAAATGATCAATGTTAATACGTGTTTCACGGGAGGAATACTGAGGTGGTATATAAACAGTGCAAATGAAAATATCATGTGGAAGGTTAAAGAATGTTTTATCCAATTTCCACCATACAAACTCTTCAGTACTTTCCTTATCTAGAAATTTAACACCTTTTCTTAAAGATGATTTAACAAGAATAGTTATTCCGCCAGAACTTCTACGTAAGTTTTGGGAAATGTCCTTTCTGTTTTTTGAAAATGAAAAGAAACCGTCAATATTAATATTATTTTCGCCATAGGGTAGCCATGTTTCCACTAAGGGGATTAAATCAAAATTCTCTAATTTAGAAATGAAATCTATATCGTTAAGTTTGCAAGACAGACCTTCAATGTAAATGTAAAAGTCCAAAATGAATCAGTAAATGGTGCATGGTCGATTCTATCAAACTACCAGAGGAATAGCTGGGTTTTTCCAACCTATCTTTTATTTACATTGTATATTCTTCTTCTAGCTGATATTAGCCTGCGTAGCAGGCGCTATTTAGGGGGGAGGGCGAGGGTGGGAAAACCTAAATAGCGCCTGCTACGCAGGCTAGCTGATATTAGAGATAATTCCGGTAAGGTAAAATCAACAATGCATCCCCACGCCTCAGTCTCATATATAGTATTTCAGTTTCAATATTATGTTAGTCTAAAACATGCATTTGCATAAATTACCACAATGCTCACAGACGACATGCAAGCTGATGTTCTTTGCCTATTTTTTATGGTTTTTGGTTAATACGATAAAACGTGCGAGTAGAAAGATAATAGGCAGTTGCATCTCGCTCATAGCAACGTCCACCTGCTGACTGTCTTGTTCAAATAGCCCACGCAAATAGTTTAATGAGCGGATGCTATAAATTTGCATTTTACTGACAACAATAATGTCAACAATTTGACAATATAATGCATATTTTTAAATTCCTCCTTTTTTTTGTAGTAAAGCTATATCTAAACTATAGAGCTGATTGTGAGATAGCATGCATTTGCACTATAGACATATGTCTATGAACATCAAAGTTAGTAGTTTCGGACAGCATATATTTGTGCCGATTTGACCACGGCTGGCTACGGCTGCTTGGAAGCGCGTATATTCACTTCTTAGCTTGTGTTTGAGTAAGTATATTACATTGCGGTATTAATAAAGTCCTTGCATGGGCTTTGTATAGATGTGTCTATCAACAAAGACGCTGAAAGACTGATGGTAACATTACCACATATCGATTTTGGTGTCTTGGTTTTGCCACAGTTTTGCTCAAGACCATATAGTTGCCGTATATTTTGGAAAGTCTAAAGATAACCTGGCAACCAAGCTTTGCTCCATAGAATACTTGAACCAAATGAATGATGTTTGTCTTCGCAGTTATACACGTTTTAGGTCATAAAATTTGAGTTAATATATAATTGCAAAAATCAACAAATTACGGGTTCATAAACTATTCATTTCACGAGTGGATATCGTCAACGTGTGGTCTTAATTGAGTTTTCAGTTGAGGAAGATTGGTTAAATTTCTATCGTGTCAGTCATGGTCCTATCTCTATTGCGTACGTTGTCACACGTAATCTGACACGATACACAGCTTGTTGATAAGCATGACCGGCAGTTAGCGTGACCGCGTCCCAGAGATCATCATGGAATGAAATACACTGTATATTTGTTGAAATTATATTTGTTATTTAGATCCCTAGAGGACTGAAAGCTTGGCGACATAAACAGAATCGACTTTGTGGTGAACAATACGGCGCTGCAGGCTACAAGACGGAGATGAAAGGGGTTATATTTCACTATGGCCTGTTTAAGATTATATGGGACTGGTTCGTTTTGTTACTTGTACTTTATACAGCTATCGAGGTGCCTTTTATCGTCGCATTTATCCTTGAGGATCAAAGTGCTGAGAAATTATCAAGTAAGTTTAATAGCTATAACAAGCTACAACTACTTTACTAGCATTAGTATTAATTAGCATTTATATCTGATGTCGTTACCAGCATTTTTTAGCGTGTTTATATTTATGTTGCATGTCTCATCGCCAGCATTCACTCATGACTGTGTCGTCGCAATCTAGCATATTGTACTGTTCATGTTATCACTTTGTTTTTTGAGACAAGTGAAAGCATACATTCATAACAAGTTGGTCCTTGGGTTTTTAGTAATTATTATTATATGAAAGGCAGTTATCTAGCTTAACTTCATGCGTTGTTCCTGTGTGCAGAACATGTCAAGACATGTACGTTTTTGAACGTTTTTTGAATGAAACAACTGAAACATAAATTTGATATTAAAGGCCAAAGGTTGCATCGAGCTGTCCCTTTAGAAGTTTACAGATCCAGACGCTAATTGTATTAGATTAAAAGCATTTAGTTTTGGTCTATAAAGTGCAATAGATTGACAAACGTGTGCAGTAGTTTTATCAGTTATAGACATTAATACAATCAAATTTAGCAATTAGACCTTTCGCAAGGTGACGCTTTCAAACAACGGTTGGAAAACAGCACTGTGCTGTGAACACAGAGATAAACATACTCAATAAAGACATCATATTATGTCAATGTGACGTATGAAAAATGACCCCGCGCTAATAAACTTCCTGTCAATTTTTGTTGGAAATCTTTAGTACCGCATTACAAGCTACGACGCACAGCATGCATATGTGCAGGGAGTATATAAACCAAAAAGAAATTTGAAAAGGTCTACATGCGTCCTGTCCACATCACGGAAACCTTTTATATTAAGCAAGGTGATATTACATGCATGGGTTAATACTATATTTAGCCATCACTGCTTCAAATGTCTGTTATGTGGGAAATTTTCTACTGAGGTGCAGAGTTTACGAAGAGGATTGGTTCAAACTTCTTCGTCATTATCTCTCAGTACCCCAAGTTTTTTTAAATTGCGAGTTATCGCTAAATGTCGTTCTGTGTAACATCAACGTCACTTGACTACGACGTTGGGGGTTTAACAAGAAACAGAACGCAAAGGAGACTGAAATGGCGGGATTCAGGATTCTACGAAGTCGTGGGAATAACTGGGAAACGGTATAAGCAAAACTATGATTTACGGAAATCGTGTGCGATAGTGATGAGCACGGATTAAGGATAAGAAACAAAATATTTGTGAAGAGAATAAGAAATTTATGCAATGTGATTTATCAAGGTAAAATCGCCTTTATCTGAAGTACTTATATAAGCATATATATAACTATATAAGGTGCTGAGTTGTTACAAAGATTAAAATATCTAAAATAGAGCGTGAAAATGTGAGGTGTGGTTGGAATCATTAGAGACCTTACAGGGACGGCAACGTGACGACGACGGCTATTAGATCATAAACATTTAAGAAAAAAATGAATACTTTTAATTATTAAAATATTCCACGGGAGTTTGAGACGTTGTCCACAGTCTCTTTACAACGGGAAACTACATACTGTACGTTTGGGTCTTTAATAAAACGCCTGTATTTCAAGACGGGAGAAGTGATACTCAGCAAATTAGCTCAGAACTTTCGTTGTCGTTGCATTGCCGTCCTACATCGTAAAGGCCTCTACTATAAAATGCTCGGCTTGACGTGAACACCAGAACAATTGTAGTTGAATGACAATTGATTTCACTCACTTTCTCCACAGACCAGTCGGACCTCCTCTAATCTCAATTAATATTTACTATATACAGACATAGTAAAACCCCGCATATAAGAACCTAGATTTTCCAAGTTAGCCTAAACAGGTTCTTATAAAAATGGCGCTTACCAGCAAATTAGGCTAAACAGGTTCTTAAATATTATGTAGGTTCTTATTTTCTTAAGAGAACAGCGACTCATTTTAGAGAGGTATGCTGTATGATTTATATAAATTATGCACAAATGATCTAAAAAATGGCAGTGAATGCACTATACCAACCCTATATGCACTTTAAAGCTACACTGATTGTAACTTATAACTTAGTTTTGACTCTATTTGATGATATAAGAATCTGTTTTGAAATTCTAGCCTGAACATGCAGGTTCTTATTTAAAGGGTGTCTAAATAAAATATTTTAGCCTAACAGGTTCTTAAATTCTAGGTTCGTATATGCACGAAATTATAACTCAAAGTAAATGTGTATACATCTATATATATATAAATATATGACAGAGAGATTGGCGATAATTTGTCTCCACCCTTTTCTCAATTCTGGGCAAAATCATTACTCATTAACATTAGTATTTTCAAACATAAATGACTAATTATTGTTTTATTCATTCCAATGAATCAGCTAGGGGAAATGTTACTCCAAATTATCTCAAATTTGTCTTATTCTGCATTGTTCAGTGGATACACATTGGCGGTAGGTAGTTTGCAATATTAATGCAAATCACATTGCATATAAAGATTAAAGAACATCTTCAAGGAGCCTCTTCTTGCATCTGACGGTTCCAATCACGATTAATGACATATGCTCGCTGATTATAAAGATGGAGTCGATTTGAACATCGGAGTCGATTTGAACATCGGAGTCCATTAAATTTTATTGTACATTACGTTTCGAGCTATACGTTTCATACGTACTATGCACAATGCCAAAGAGCGTGCCAACGGGACTCGAAGTCCCACGCGATCGAGGCAATGAATCCACATTTTAATCATAGCTAAGAATTGGCAGACCGTTATCATCCATAGAGAGAAACGCTACAATTCAGCATCTTCTCTAAGCTGTTATAAAGAATGAATGAATGAAATTTTTGTTGGGTATGCATGGCGAAATAAATTCATGGCAAATGAAAAGAGTAGTTTCGCATGTATTTTTATTACATTGAGTTCAGTGTAATCAGCATTACCTATTAACTTATTCTGCACTGATGATTACTTCAAAAAGTTAAGTAACATTCTCATTGATCCAAACACAGCCCCCTTATACCTCACCGTGCGCGAAACCTACAAGTCAGATGTCTTGCCATCACTCATCAGGCATCACCAAATTACTAATCACATTTTGGATGCTTGTAAAAATGCAGGTTGTCAAATACTGACATGTTTATTTGGTCCTTTGTATTACAATAAACATACGTGACAGATCATATAAACTGTAAGTGCAACCTACATATTTTGAATTCATGCAGTGCCTTCAACAGATCACAGTTTAACGTTTACGGTTCGAAATATCGAGCAAGCCGCTTAGGTCTGGTATTTTTTTATGTGCGTCATGTCTAAATTTTAATCGCTGCGAAAAGACTTCCCATAGAAATATCTAAAGTGTCTTTTCCACTCAAGTCTTCGAGGCCACTTGATCACGAACATCTCAATTATTATTGGCATAAATGGGAAAAGATCTCATTTGAGAATAAGTTGAGGTATTAACTCGGACAGTCATTGCATGTGTTACGTGCATAGATATCTTATATCCCTATGCTTATCTACACTAGATAGCGCATCTCTTTTAGTAAAATTGAAGCCAAGAATATTCCAGCGGTTACCCCCATTTGAATAGATGGCGGCCGTGTTGGTCGTTCCCACTTAGTAATAAACGCTTAAAAACAACGTCAACAACTTTCATCATTCAAATAGTTTAAAAATGTATTTGGAATAGGATTAACTTAATGTTTAAGTTCCCTGTTTAAGAAATAGAAAACATACGAATCTTCTCATTTCATGGGAACGACCTGAGACTGCAATCATGGCTTCAATTGTTGAATTGCAGAATAATTAGATGCACTATCTAGTGTATATAAGATATCTATGGTTACGTGTTGCAGGAACCAGTATTGTCAACTGCAAATATTCAACTGAAGCTCTAATTTTTGTATCTTCCAGTCGTCTATTAAGGCCCATTTCCACTCAAGAAATTTTCCGCGGAAAGAAAATTTTGTACGATTTGATTGGCGGACACAAATTTTTCCGTCGGAAACAAATTTTGAATTTGAAAAATTTCAACTTTTAACAACGACATTTTCGGAAAATTTTCTGTCCCTGGAAATTTTTCTTGAGTGGAAATGTAACCTTAAGGTGGATTTCTAATTATTATTTCAATGATTTTAAAAATTCTGTTGAGTCATTTTTTTGGCCAAGTATAATATTTCAAAATTACGTATTTATAAATAAAGAAGATGAAACCTCGCTCCCCCAGTAAAGGCCCAATAAAGTTTCTGGTCTTCTCGTACGTGATTTTCCCGCTGCCACCATGCAGTGATCGGTATTAGTTTGTGTTTAATTATGTATATAATTGATACCTTTTATGAGTTTTAAGTTATTAAGGGACGGACCATTAGAAAAGTGATGGGGGGTCCCTAACTCCACAACGTTCCTAAAAATAGTTGGGCAAATAAAGTTGCTCTAATTGTTCTAACTTAGTATTATTAACCTTCGAAAAAAATTTGCTATTTAATTTTATGAGGAGAATGTAACATATATAATATCTTGTGCGCCATGATATTGGTCATATTGGTATTCTATATCAAGCTTATTTTTTCTAAAAATTTCGCTGTTTTCTCATCTGCATGTCTCTGCCTTTACAAGAGGTTTGACTGTAAATATGAGGCCTGTTTTATACGTCGAATTTCGGTCGTGTCGAATGCAATTTAAACAATAGATAATGAAGCTAAAGGTCGTTTTCCACCAGGCGGAATATTCCGCGCGGAGGGGAATTTTTCTTTGTCTTGTGATTTCTCGGGTGGAACTAATTGGAAAAGACAAAGAGAAATTCCGCTCCGCGCGCAAAATTACGCCTAGTTGAAAACGGCCTTAAAGGCCCTGTTACACGGTGCAATTTTTCATGCAACTTGTCTCGCAATGGCGTTGCGAGACAAGTTGCACGAGTCATTGCACCGTTTAACATGCCTTGCAATGGTCAAAATCGTTGCGAGACAAGTTGCATGTAGCATTGCAGAGAGTAGAAGTCGGTTCTACTTTTGGCAACGATTGCACTAATTATTTTTAGCATTGCAGCGTGTAACATGGCTTCGTGCAACTTGTCTCGCAATATTTAATGCTTGGAGAGTTCCTATTGGCTCTCCCCAGTACACGCTTTACTTTAATTAAAATTTGGCGCCAAATAGCGCCTCTCCCTATTCTCTTCGCATGCCTCTGTCCCGTATCGTTGCGAGTTGCATGAATATCATTGCAGCGTGTAACACCTCTTGCAATGCATTATCAAAATCTTTTTTTTAAACATTGCGAGACAAGTTGCATGAAAAATTGCACCGTGTAACAGGGCCTTTACGTGAGGTTTATCATCTCATTATCTATTGTTTGAATTGCATTCGACGCGACCGAAATTCGACGTATAAAACAGGCCTGACTTACGAATGCAGCGACATTGAAATATAACGTGATTAGCGTACATATGACAAATCTTGCATTTTGTAGTCATACTACATGTAGTCAAAGTTCTATAGTTCTTGTTGCATGGAAGTTATTTTATGTAGGGGGAAGCTCTAATTTTTGTACCTTGCAGTCGTCTATATTAAGGTGGCTTTCTAATTATTGAGCCACATATTTATAAAGATGAAACCTCGCTGGTGTCTGATGGTGAGCTCCGTCCTCCCCGGCCTTCTCGTACGTGATTTTACCGCCGCCACTGCATGGTGGTCAGTGCCTTTTTTAACTATATATCTGGAGGG